AGCTATAATGGCCAACCATGGCTGCTGCTCATCTCTGGGTAAGCAATTTTGAAAGTTCATTTTCTTGGGTTAAGTGCAATTTGCACTAATCGTATTTTTAACGCTTACACTACTAATCGAGCATTTAAGTTCGGGGCTAGCGAGTTTGCTAGAATATTGAAATTCGAAATATTTGTATGTGCACACATACATATGCAAATACATTATTCAATGTGCATAGTAAAATTCTCATGAATTTATTGAAAATCGAAGCTCACTTTCCAGAAAGTGCATGCGTTGAAATAAAGTGGTCGTCTTTTGCACTAAATTGCAGACGATATGTGAATTTGTGCTTTAAAATTAGTAACAAATATGTGTTCGATATGGAATTTTATTGACGTTTCAGTACTTGAAGCTAATATTTTATTATTCGCTTGACAGCTGAAAGATGATAGACGGCTAGCAATCCAACTTTTGTAATCGTTCTCTTCATTTTACAACGATCTGAATGACAACTGACAAAGATAAAATGATGGTGAAGAACATGACAGCCTTGAGTGGGAGATATAATTCCGTTGACAAGTAACAGCCAATAGATTGAGGACAGCCTTTTTGCAATTATTTAGCATACCTATAATGAACCGATTCAAGTCATATATGCAACATTTTGTTCGATAACATATTGTCTACTCACATAGATACACTCCTTCCTATTGGCAAAAAACTGGGAAATTCGATTTTCATAAGCTTCTCTTGAGACGAAATTTTCATTAGCAAAATCATTGACCATACACAGGAACCGGTGGTAATAACTTGGTGCCAATTACGGACTATAAGGTGGAAACAAATAAAATTTTTAAGCCGAGCTTCAGGAGTTTCTAGCGTTGTTCTGATGGAACACAATTCTTCTACTATTGACCAATAATCTGAATTCGTATGACAGCTGACAGATTGAAGACCAACTTTAGATAGAAATATATTTTCTAATTAAGTAAATAAGTTTTATAACTGACAACTGACAAATGAAAGTTACAATTATAAAAGATAGTTAGCTTTTAATAATACTCTATTATAATTGACTACATTGAAAAGCTTTTAAAATAATGTTATGAAAATACATACCTTTTGAACATAATACCTATATGACAAATAACAAAAGCGATATCAAAAATTTGTCGGCAATGAGTTAAAGAGATTTATTCAACGACAACTGTTAGTAGCAAGAAATCCGCATTTAGGAGTATATTATCAATTTGAGTCACAATTTCTTATATTAGAACTGACAGTTGATAACTCTCCAATTTAAGCATCATGACATATTAATATTTATTGTTTCTATATATCAACTGACAACTTACTGTTGACAAAATAAACAGTTAATGTTTTTAACTTTCAAATGAATTAAAATAATTTAAAAATCTAAACTAAATATCGAAACCATAAAGAAGCGCTAATGTCAAAGTAAAGAGAGTTACAACAAATATTTTGAACACTAATTTTCATATTTCCATTATACTTTAATTATATCGACAGTTCATTTTCATCTTAAACTTCATCAACAATTTTCAAAAATTACCTCATAGCCACATCCCTTAGCTCATTTCACAAAATAAATGAATTGAATTAATTTTCGTAAAAACATATATTGAAAGTTTTATTAAAATTCTCGGCCAGTTTTAAAAATATAGATTGCCTTTCATATTTCGAGATTAGAGAACAAAAAAATATACATAAATTATCAAAAATCGCTTTTTCAGAATCTGCTCCATTAAGATCTCTAGACTTTTGCATGGGTTAGAACCATTTGTCGCTCTGATTGAGGTATCTCCAAAACATGCGTTCTGAACGTATCAACCGACTCTTCAGGTGTCGGAAAAGTTGACCTCTTCATCTATGTTTTAAAGTCAGGACCATACGGGGGATGGCTCATCAAATCTATGTTTTGAGTGCTCAAAAATGCAGTTGTTTCAGTCCATGTGTGAGAGGTCCCATTGTCGTATAGAAGAGAGTTTCGAGATGAATATTTTAAGTTACTGTAAACAACACAAATAGCGCTCGTAAGTCAAAACGTTCTGAGTATGTATAAGAACAAAAATATCAAACTTAACGATGAAGTTGCGAGTTGCCAGATTGAAACACTAGGGATGCCAAATCCCAAAATATAAATGACAGAAGTAGAACTAAGAGAAATTTGACCGACTACAAACACTGAAGTCTATACGTACTAAGGAAATTATAGAACTTCTTTATATCTAAAACCAAAATTATTTTTCAGAATTCGAAGAGTCTTCGCAAATTACAAATACAACAATCGATGATAATATGTAATCCTTCAACTATATAGAACTGAAAACTGTCATCTGTTGTGTTTTTCAGATTCAAATTGATATGAAGGCTCTATCAAAAATGCAGACTACGGTTTCTCCTCAAGATCATTTCCCATTGCTAAACTATACCCTTTGGTACCATTAATATTTCCTGAATTTAACTTTGACCATTAAAGTATACTAACATGAAATGAAAGAGTAATATAACCGGGCCAATACAGAACGAATACATTTTCCTACAGGCTCTGTAGTAATACCTAAAGAACTTTTTAGTTTTTTCTGGGTAAACCTTATAAAACCTTTTAAGCATATCTGATTGTACTATTATTATTGTTTCCATTGAATTATAGTGAAACTTACTGAATTTCACATATCACTGATTTTAATTGCCTGACTCGTGTAGTTTAGAAGCAAAGGCAACTTTTAAACTATACCTATAATCCAATGAATGAAAAACTTATCCTCTATAGTAGTTTCGCAGTATTAACTACATATAAGTTTAATTAGAAATCATTAATTCCCTCAAAATACTGACATTTTGTCGTCATTGTTTATTGTAATATACAACGAAATATCGGAGGTAAATAACTGAGTGTTGCCCTTCCCTCCCTCATATGCGTATACACCACTTATGATTAACTCCTCTGTAATTTCACCCTGCTGTTAGAAACCTCAGACCTACGAATTTGGGTGTATATAAATTAATATGTAATATGTATATGTATGCATAATCAATAAGCCTAAGGTGCCGGCAGAGTGGACGCTGAAAGTCGCGCCGAGGGCAAAGCTGACGAATGCGAGAAATAAGCTTCAAAACTGTACGCCTACATTGTCATACGAAATCGCACAGACACTGCAGAGTGGAAGCTGACCAAAGCTGAGCGTATTCTTCTTCGCGGTTTTAAACTCAATTGATTGACACCTTCGCATGCAACATATGTAAAGCGAGGTCGGCAAAATTTTAGTAAGGATTTTTTATCAAAACAAAATTTCGTATCCACCGTTAACTTTATTTAAAAATACCTATACTTTCTGAAGCACTCTTTCCGGTTCATGTAACACTATAAATGTAAAAATCTTTTATTTTAAAGGAAGATAAATATGAGAAAAAAATATTTTAAGAGATTTGTAATACAATAATTGTTTACTCGTTATACTTCTTTACTTCCAAATAGCATTAGAATCTCACTGAGACCAAATACTGATGATTACGCAATAATGAAACTTGACAATTTAATATTTCGATTATATACGGAAACTAATCCAAAATCGTTTTTACATTTTATTCGTCCATCTTCTACCAATTATCACATATTAATTCTAATTTACGCCTGAATTTTGTTGGTTTCCGAAAACAAGCTAAAAACAATGTGATTTCTACGAAATAGATTTAGACCCTTGATACCTTCAAATGTCAATTAAACAATACGGTTCTACTACCTTTACTATAATATTCTGTGAAAGGAAACTCTTCTTACTTCCATTCTTAAACTTAAAAATATTTCTTACGAGACCATCAATGTCTTTACAATTTTTCACTCTGAAAACTTATTAAACTTATTAAACTCCTATTAATATAAACTAGAGTCCTTGGTTCTTTCTATCTTCTGAAGTTATTATAATTTTATATAATGAAAATTTATTAAAAAAGAAACATACTTATATTTTACAAAAAAAACTATACTACCTATTTCTACAGATTCTACAAATTGTCAAATACAATTTTCCATACACTGCTTATAGCCTCACCTGGGATAGCTTTCAGTGCCTTCAGTAAAATTTGGTTTTTTCGCTTCCGGCTCATTTTTGGAATACCATTCGATAGATTGTTGGACAGTTTCGACGTCATATTCATAAACCCACATCTTGTCACTTCGGCTACGTTGTCAAGCATCTGCTTTGCGACTTCTACTCGAAGTCGTTTTCGCAAAAGATTCAGATGTTTTGGCACGAGTCCAGCATTGACACGCTTCATACATAAAACATGAATCAAAATGTGTTAAGTCGATTCATGAGATGTTGAGATTCTCTGCTGATGCCAACACGACGAGTTTCAAGCACTGTTACTTTAATTTTTTCAATGTTATCGTCATAAGCGTTAGGCAAGTATTCGATGACTTCCCAACGATTATTGAATGCTTTTTGCCACTAAAATACTTTTTTGGTGATATAGTAGACTCTCCCAAAGGCTTCAGTAACATTGTCAACGATTTCATAGCCATTTCATTAGAAATACATAATGTCAAGCAAACTCATAAAAAGGTTCTACCAAACTAGAAATATATTTTTTATCGATTCGGTTTGCGCGCAGTTTAAAGTCCGGGTCAAATTTGATCAAATGGTGTATAATACATTTGCCCATTTTTATCCTCTTTCTTTTCATCTCTGTCTTTCGCCACTTACTTCAAACCTTATTGCGCTGTTATAACAGTAAATTTCATTTTTCAGTAAGGTGATCGCATTATTGCGGGATGCTTTATTACAAAATATGATTTATTGCCCACTCGAAATACATGTATATAAAAGTGGGAGGGTAAATACAGGTTAGAAATATTGATCACTAATTATTGATAGATATAATTAAAACAAACGTCATTTAAATTATTCATTATAGATATTAGAAAGTATTTAATTTTTGTTTAAATAAACAATATATATATATATATATATATATATACATATATGTACAAATATGCACATATAGAACAGTTATAAATATCAAATCGTAATAAAAATGTCCAATAGAAATAAAATATTTATAAAAATAAAATTTTTAACTTGACACACATTAAAAGTTTGCAGCAACAACACGCATTTTAGCACACTGTCTAATTGACGCATTTTCTCAGTTCTCCCTACTCCGCTCAGCTTCTCTTTGATCTTGTTCTTGCATTAATTCCGACGCTTTCATCAAGCGTACATATTCGGGTGTATACGGTAGATCGAATGCTTTTATGACCTGCTCGTCAACATCCTTCTCGACTTCCAAGCGCTTCAACACTTCGCGCCGCTCCCGTGCTTGCATATCACTGTCCATCTCCGCTGACATATCCTTGTCTTCTTTTCGCACCTGCAGTATAGCTGGCTGATGTTCTTGCTCCTGCTCCGGCTGCGCCTCCTGCAGCGGCTGCTGCTCTTGTTGTGGCTGTTGTACTTGTTGCGGCTGCTGCTCTTTTTGTGGCTGTTGTACTTGTTGCGGTTTCTGCTCTTGCTGCGGCTGTTGGGCTTGTTGCGGCTGCTGCTCTTTTGGCTCACGCTTCTTATGCATCTGCTCCAATTGCATATGTTGCAACATGTTCAGATTCTGCAAGAGATCATCACGTACGCTTACCATCTGTTGTTGATCCTCAATCGGTAAACCATCGTATTGGCGCAGTAGTTTCTTAACGATACGCGACCGTTCTTCAACAGTGTTCGGGTCAATGAGACGCACTTCTTTGCTGAATTCATTAAAAGGTGCATCGATATTAGCACGCTTTTCTCTTACGCCTTCAGCCGAATTGCTTTCGTAGATATCCAATATTTCATCGTAAAATATTCTCAACTCGGGTGGCAGTGGTATGCAAGAGCGTTGTTCCACTTGATCGTCGATTATATCACTAATGGCCTCCATAGCTTGTTGAACCATGTCTTCGATATGATTAACATCGTCCTTTTGCTTTTTGTAACGAATGTGGGAGTAAAAGAAAAATGTTTTACAGTCAAATAATGTTAATGTCGGTATGGGGCGGTATTGGTCAGACCATTTTCTCAAAACCGTTATCCTGTGGTGGAATTTTCTTCAAACATTGTTGATTGCGCTTTAAAACGGCCCACAATGGTTTCATTTGCGGATTACATTTCGCCATATTGAACATAGATTTGACAAGTTCCAACGAGCCCTTCCCATTTACCTTATTTTCATCGCAACTAAAGATAAATCGAGTGTCTAATAAATACATTTTAAAGCATTGGCAACAAATTTCACCTGTAAACTTACCTCGCCTTCGGCTTCGCGCACTTTCGCTTCGTTGTGTAACGTTTAAATGCTTCGAATTGTGGAAACGAAATGCCACGTCGTTCGCGATCTTCACTCTGCACTTTAATCGTGCCATTGCCGAAAAAATTCTTCGCCTTCTGGTCCCCCATAACGCTCGCATTGATAGTGATGTTCAGCTTCATGGCTTTCTGCCCACTTGAACCTAGTGGACGCATTGTAACTGGTTGAATTTCAATAGTCATATTAATTGCATCATTGGACGTATTAACGCCACTAGTATTACCGTCGGTGCCCTTCGTTCCACAGTTGCTGCCAGCAGGTCCAAAACCATTTCCACCACCATCACCAGTGTTGCTTCCACCGCTTTTAGCACCTCCACTATTACCATTTACTCGATCTCCATAACCTCCATGCCCAAACTTGTCATGCGAACCACCCGCATTTCCGAAAGGTCGATTGTCTCCTGCTCCATAACCACCATTTCTTTGCTCACCACCACCACCTAACTGTCCGCTATGACCACCGTGTCTGGCTTGCTCCCCGCAGTTCTCATTCTTATTGTTGGTATGAGTGATACCACCACCATTTGAACTATTACCGCCTCCATTTGAATTGTTACCACCTCTGTTTGAAGTGTTACCGCCACCTCTGCTACCATCAGCTCTATTTTGCTGCTGCTGTACGGACTTAAGAAAACTCTCCAAAGTATTGAATGCGGTGCAGTTGAGCATCTTATCATTCAATTGCAATACTAAACCATTGTCTTCCCCTTTGCAACTTGCCGCGTCTTTATTCTTACTATTTCCAAACCAACCGAACGCCGCGTCATCACCACCACCCGCTTCTTCTTCCTCGCTATTCCCTATTTTCTCATTTACCACACCCGCTTCATTCTGCTTGCTCGGCTGCTCTTTTCTTTCAATACTTTTGATCGCACCATCTTCGATCTTTAAAATCAGCGCCGAGTGTTGTTGGTTTGACTGATTTCTGTTTGTGGTATCATCAGTTTTAGCTTGCTGATTGTTATTATCCTGATCTTCCTCCCATGGATCGGAGCCATACCAAAGGTTGTCGACAGGCATCCCATCAAAATTACGGGCATCTTGATCGATCTGTTTGAGATTATCAAATTTTTGATTGCCAAACTCACTAACAGAGTTGCTAAAATCATTTTCCTGTTCCGGTTCATGTACACGATTACGCAGCGACAGTCGTCTTAACCGCTCCATTAAATCGCCGTAGTTATCTTCGCGCGCATCAATATAGTTACCAGCTCTTTCAGCATTTCTCGCATAAGTCGCTCTGGCAGCGTTCATGGCCTTTCTGTCCGCCGCTATTACGGCTGCATCGTTAAGCGTATCGCTTCTTGACGGCATCCCGCGCCTTTCAAAAGGCTCAGCCGGTATTAAATTTCCGTCATCGTTTATTAACAATTCAGTGTGTACCACCTTGCGATTATCGCCATTATTATCATCGATGGGGTCAACAGCTTGTGTGTGCCGCTTGTCCATCAAATGCTCAGGCGTACTCTCTTCTTTTACCTCACCTCGCGTTAACTTTTTAGCACTGTCCTTTTCGTCATCTATTGGCTTGTTCTTTTTTGCCTCCACATTTCCTTTTATCTTCTCTTTATCTTTTTTCTCTTCACTCTCCTTTGTCTTTTCAGCTTCTCTTCTAATGCGTAGTTTATCATTTCTATTGAGTGAACGTCGTCTTCTTTCAGAACCATTCAACACATGTAAACTGTCATCGTTGAAAACTTCCTTTCTAGAAACATCTATTTCACGTCTGCGTCTGCACAATACTTTTTGTTTTGGATCACCTTTTGAAGTCAACTTGTCTGTTGCTGCTACACTATTTTCCTCAGCTGCATTTATATTCTCTTTTTCATGGCTTTCTCGCTTAGACATGAGATTGTCCAACGTCATAAGATCAAGCAGTCCTCCTAAATCGACTTCCTTTACGGCAGTCATTTCGCCATCCTCATTGACTACACCAATACGCTTAACTTGCCGCTTCGGTTCGTTGGAGTCCTCATCTTTATTAATGTCACGCTTGAATTTGAATATCGTCATTTCATGTTTCACGTCATTATCCTTATCGCGCGTACTTTTATCTTCGGTAGTCTTATAATTACCCTCCTGTTCGCCACAACGTTTGGTATGTGAGTTTCCAACATTTTCACCCGCCAATACTTGGTTATCATCGACCAACTGTGCATCATCCATATCATCGAGTTGATCTGAATCGGCATCTACATCATCTGCTGCTGCGTCTTCCTGTGACGGTTCTTCAGCAGCTGATTCTATCGGTACAGACACTTCATCAGCTAACGCTTTATTGCTACTGACGGGCCTAAGGTCTGGCAATCGATCCACTAATAAATCATTTGGCTTTAATTTTTCTGTAATTCGTGAATGCACATTACCATCGTCGCTTGGATTTTTGGTGACCCGTTTAGTGCGCAATAAATCTAAGAGGTTACTCTCCTCTTCTTCGTCTGGCTGCGCACTTGTACGCCTACGACGTAATATAGTATACGTCGGACCTAATATAATATCTTCGGTTTTAGTTTTTGTGTCACTATCGCCGGTGGAGGTTTCTGGTTCCTCATTAAGTAACTTTTCATAAGAACGCTCCTCGATTTCTTCCATATGCCTTAGACGGTCTTGCCAATCCAGCTCGTCTTTTGATAATCGGCTCGTGCTACGTGAGTTGCTGTAATCACTTAAACCAATATGGGGGTTTTCCGACGCGTAGCTCTTCTCCAACTTCTTTACTACATCGTCCAACTTTAGTTCCTGCTGCGTTTCGGTGAGCGCATAACTGGGCAATGAAGGACCCAAACCTTTAGCCATTAAGCGTGTGCTGGTCTTTAGCTTTATTTCATCCATGGCATTGAAGCCTGCACTCCGCTTCGAAGGTATATTCATTTTACCGCTAAAGCTCTGCAAGCCACTAAGTCCTTCGCTACCACGTGCATGTCCCTTACGTGGTTCTGATTGTTCTTGTTCGATTTTTGAAAGTTTATAGTCGGCTTCGTGCGACAAATCGTTGCGTGCCAAATCGAATTGATCGTTAACTATACTAGGAAAATGTATATTTTCAATTGTTTTCTCATAACTGATGGGTTCGTCATCATCCTCGGCGTCTGGCTTCGTTCTGGACTTCTGGAAATCCTCCATTTGTGTATCAAAATCTAACTTTAAATGTGGAAACTCAACCTTCTCCATCATTCTACGCATTTCGGGATCGACTTTTTTTTCATTCAATTCTTCCAGGTTGTCCATGTTCTTCGACTGTAACGCATTCCGGTAGTTATTCGCTTCGAGTAGTAAAAAAGTATTCAAATTGCTCTTTGGACTGCTCGGTTTACTAGGTGCTGGATTCTGGAGATTGGAAGTGAATTCAAAGTAGGCCTTATCACTTTTACCGTGCCCAGCATTGCTCGATGACGGCTTACAGCTAATGTAGGCTTTGGTTAACACACTTGAACCATCACTAAACCCACTTTTATGACTATTTGTATTTGTATTGAAACTGTTAGTGTCAAATTTGGAGAATGTCTGCGAGTACGGTGCATTCATGGAACCAGATTTACCAAAGTCCATGTCAGTATTAAAGTTATCCTTATCGTTCCAACTCGACTTCCAACTGTTACTGTTTAGGTAGCTGTCCTTATTTGTATTGCCTGCACCGTTATTGGAATTTTTATGTTGATTGTTTTTATTGGCATTGTTGTAATCATTCGATTCTTTGTCCTTACCAGTATTCTTTTCTTTCTCTTCCTTGCTACTACTATTTGAATTCTTCGAACCTTTACCTTCGGAGCTTCGTTGCTTCTGTAACATTTCGTCCAAATTGAAATTCTTCAAATTGCTTTGGCTATTGTGAAAACTATTCAACAATTTTCTATGCATATTTTGAAAATTCGAATTGGACCGCACCAGATCATTCAACTGATCGTTCACATTGTGTTTATTTGCCAAATCATCCTTATTCTTCTTATTGTCCTGTTTGACGTCACGTTCCTGCAGGGGATGTGTCATATCTTGGTCTAAATTAAGCGCCTCGCGCTCTAAATCCAAATTTAAATCGATGTCTGAGTTTTGTAGCAGATCATCGATCGACTTTCGGCGTTGTCGCTGCAATTCGATATTACCGCTTAGCGCCGGTGACTCTTCCACATTTTGCAAAGCATCGGTGGCTTCGTCCAGCGTTCGCTTGTATTGCACGAGCTCATCGCTGACGGTCGTATGTATGCATTGTAATTGCGCGGCAATCGTGAGTGTAAAGAAGAAAGTCGCGCACGAAAATTTCATTTCTTCTTTGAGCTTAAAAAAACATAAAAATTTATCAAAAATGATTTCCTTCACATTTACTTGTCATTACAATTATTTTTTCTTTTTTAATAAAAGTTTGTTTTTCGGAAACTGTCACAATAGAGAACTGTGAAATATCCCAACGTACAGGGTTACATGTATAGCTGTGGTTTAGAACAATTTTCGAAGCTATAATTTATGGCATCCGTTTAGAAAACATATTAATAATGTTATCGATATATAAAACGAAATCTTATAACTCAAATGTATGTTGAAGAATCAATAAATACCTTTTAAATTTTCGATAAAGAAACATGAGGTATGTGCCATAGTTTCTTTTAATAATAATGTTATAATATTATCAGAGCAGTATGCTATTGTTGACCATCCTAAATAGGTGTTTTCTAGACGAGATAAGAATAGAGTGTTCTATTGTTACCCAGTATATTTTGACCGACTTAGAAAAGTGTAACTAGGTTAAGAACTACTGTTACATCCACTGTATTTTTCAGGTTAGGCACTGTATGACTACTTTTTATTTAAAAAAAAAATCACATTCGCCGCACAAAAAATTTGAGTACAATAAGGAGGTAAACGCTGTCAAGGTGCTTTGCAGACCTCCAGAAAACGTACTTATCAAACGGATTAAGGGGGTACTCAGAGGCACGAAAAAATTAGAATTTGCAGTAATATTTTATTGCTATTAAATTATGTAAAAGTAGTAATATGGCATTATTATACAATATTTTGACTTGAAATCATGAAAATTTAAAAAAAAAAAACATTTTATTTCCAAAGTTATAGCTGTCTGTGTTAACCCAGTTCCGAAAAAGGGTCCTTGCGGTGGCAATCATAAGTCCTGTGAGATTCATTTAAAATCAGTTGGATGGAAAAAATTAATTTTATAAATAGATAATCCTGGGCCTGATCGAAGATTTTTTTATTTTTTCAAAAATTAACTCAGGAAATTTTTTTCTAGATTTTTGAGGTCTTATAAAATCGACATTTTTGAAAAAAAAATCCTTCGATCAGGCCCGAGTTTATTATGTATTTTAAAAGCTGAGTAACCAGTTCGAAAAACATAGTTTTGAGAAAAACGCATTTAAAGTTTCTTGCAGCTGCCGCTAGCTACCTAATCCCGAGTGCTTTGAAGTGCCCGAGCGGTCTTTGTTATAGGTCGAATAACTTAAAAAGTAATTATCGGATCAACTTGAAATTTTCAGAGAATATTTTCAAGATATTACACTTAAGAAAAATGTAAAAAAACCCAAATTGAGTTTTTGAAAATTTTGACTACCCCTAACCCCTTATAGAAGTTCGAGCCGGTTAGCGTATCGAGCTAAACGGAGAGTTTATTGAAAAATAAATTACTTATTTTAAAAATTTTAGTTCTTCATTTGTAGTCTAAATATTTATCGGACCACCCTCGTATATATTACAAAAATAACTGCAAACTCTATTAACAAGCTGATCTCCCTCAACCATCGTATCCACCTGTTTTTATCATGCTCAAATCACATACGTTAAGTAGCGATGACAGCTTGCACCTCACAAAGCCATCGACGCAACAGGATACGGACTACAGCACAAACTCCGTGCAACACCAACTTTAACTGTGTTTTTGTCTAACTTCAAACGCATTCAACAGGTGTGTTGCACCAACACACACAAGCAGGCACACCTTTGCAACACTTTCCAAACTAACGGCAAATCAAAGTTGTAGATAGTGAAAAGCTACACACGTGCTGCAATTGTTGTTGGGTGCATATATATTCATATGATTGTTCAATTCTATTGAATTCGAAAACTTTGAAGACATTTCCGCCGCATACCTTCTACATATATATGTATGTGTGTGTTTGAGAATGTGCGCGCTTCCACCCACACGTAGTTTTAGCAGCGCCGTGGCAGTGATAACAAAATAATAATAACAATAATATTTTTATGCCACACGTGCGGCATAGACTTTCAGTGGAGGTGCCACATGTTGAAAAAGTTTTCAAAAACTTCACAGCACACACAATTGCTGCCACCTAAGTGTATGTATGTGTGTGTGCTGCCACTGCCAGCGCTAGCACAACTCATTCATTCCGCTTCGCTTCCGCCACATGTTGACAGTTGTTGTCATTGTCGTCACATAGTGCAACATTTCCTACGCCACATCCGCGGCGGTGTGCGAATGCAATGAAAAACGTCAGCCCAGTTTATGTATATGTATGTGTGTATGTGTTTTTGTGGTTGCGCTGCCACTTTGCCGCTTTGTGCTTGCCACTTCCACCTTGTTTTCTTTTTTTCTGCGTTTTTTGCTGTGTGTGGCGGATCCTCTTTCATTGACGTAATCGCTCACTACAGGCAGTTGTGTTTCTTTTCTTTGTTGCTATCTCTTTTTGTTCACATTTCACATGACTATGATGCTCCACCTGTGCAACCGCATCGTCAGTCATGCAACCGACATGTTTTGCAATTGTTTTACTTTGATTTTCGCTCGCATTGATTTGTATTCATGCGCCTTTTAGCGCTGCCAAGTCGATAGGCTCAACTTGCATATGCCAACGCGTTTGCCACTTTCCCCGCAACTGCCTCACACACATATGTATGTATGCACACACAATTAGTTTATCTGTTGTTGCCACTTGGCTGTCTATGTGGCTGCTGTTGTTGCATGTTTAACTTTTTCAAACAATACAATTTCCTTTTAAAACTTTGTCAGCTTTTCATTTGCTCTCACCTACACACACATTCAAGAAACTATATTTATCTGCGTTGCATGTGTGCGTGTGGCAGCTTATGCTATATGTGTTTATTCATAAGTTTTCTATATAATTAAGATAATGCAGTCAAACAAAGACGTCGCTCAGCTTTTCTTCTCTCCCCCAAGGCAACCGCCCTTCGTTTGCTTTCACAAATGCGTCGCACGGGGCGTATGAGTATTATTTAATTAAATTGACACTTGATTTCATTTATATTGTTCGGTAAATTGTTCACAGTTAAGACAACTTTAATTAAATCAAAATCATCTTGTACAAGTTAACTGGCTTCTTTGTAGCCACTTGGCTATAAAGCAGTTTAAGTTGTTTTCTAATCTCTGGGGATTTTGTTTCGGTGTGGCTGCTGCCGTCTCAAACACTTTTTCTTCTGAAAAGAGAAACTTGAACAATACTTATTGCATTACAACTTTATTGATGCAGCAATCGAAATGTGTACATTTGATAGTGGAAAGGTTCAAATATTAAAATTAAAATCTACAGAACAATATTTAGAAATAATATAAAATAACATAAAAGTGGACGGCGACCTGATGACATAAAAGTCAACACTATATTTATAAGTCGAAATTGGACTACCACCATGCCTACTTCCTTTGTGACAAAATTCAAACTAAGCCAAATTGTTTGCCTAAAATACTATTTGTTGAAATTTGACCCGGACCGATAAGAAATATACATTTAATTATATTTTAATACAAATCTTTATTATTTACTTCAAAATAGGCACCTGAGGAATTACAAATACAACACTTAATTAAATATTCACTGCACTTGTTATGAGCTTTGGCTGGTTAAACTTCAGCGACTTTTGGTGTTTTTGCTTTCGGCTTATTTTCGGAGCGCCATTCGTTAGATTGTTAGACAGTTTCGACGTCATATTCATACACACCCACATCTCATCACCAGCAAGGTTGTGTTTGATGAACGTAGGACCCTCAGCTAACATACGTTGTCAAGCATCTCGTTTACGACTTATACTCGAAGTCGTTTTTGCAGGTCAGGCAACATTTGCGACGATTGCCTAGTTGTAATTTCATTGGAAACACAAAATGTTAAGCAAACTCGCTGTTCAATTTTTTTCCCATAGGAAAAATCGCCAGACAAAACAAACTGCGAAAACCACACTAATTGATATATGAAGATTGCACCAATCTAATAATATAATCAGATAATATAATGTATATTAGATTAGGTCACTGGGCCATTAAGGCGGCTAAGAATATACTACTCTCAAAGAATACCTAAGAAGCAGCACCCTGCAATAATATACAGGCAGTTCGAAAACGGCTGATGCCATAAGGGCTCATATCCAATTTTCGAAACATTTTTTAATCTGAGGTCTACGCCATCAGTAGGTGTGCAGCGATTATTTAAGAGAAAAACTATCGTGGTAAAAGCATCGTGATTTTCATTGATAAGCACTTCAGGTAAACTCATCTGTTGAAATCAAATCAGCAATGGTACTGAATTGCATCAAAATGCTTAAAAGGGTTGCTATGAAAAATAACATATCATTAGCATGGATACCTGGCCATAGAGGCATTAACGATAATGAACCGTGCCGATCTTCTAACCAAAGAAGCTGCGGCCACCGAGCCAATACGATCGGAGCATATTCTTTGAAGAAAGGGCTGGTAGAAATCGCTATTGGCAGAAATTGCATGGACTTCACCATTCGAAGCCTTTACTGGAAGAGTTCAATACAAAAAGGCTGAAGCCGCTGATTGTTCTTCTCAGGGAAAAATTGCGCAGCTACTAGGATTTATTATGTAACACTTCTAGTTGTCATCTGCGCTAATTTGGATGCTGTCCGACAGATCTACAGAACACATACTCATTGTTTACCCCGCAATCGCAAGAAAGAGAAGTCAGGATATCGGGACAATGAATCCGATGAAATAAGATATCGTTTCCTTAACCCACGGTCTTTACTAAGCCTTCTTGATTCAACTGGCTTAAATGTGATGATGTGATAATAAAAAGGGCCCAATAGATCATAGGATGCAGAACGTTTCTTATTTTTAAGGCAGCATCCCGCTCCAGAATTATTAAATTTTTACTTTTGCGGTTTTGCTTAGATCTCATCAGTATTATGTAATAGATGGGATTTAAAGCAAATGTGGTAAACTATCTAAATGAATCCATGACCTATAAGTCTAAGTTTCATCAAGTTCCAATGATTTTTATCCGCATTTAATACTTACTGACTGCACCCGAAATTAGCCCACTAACTTTTTCTAATTATATTTGTTTTAATTGGTTTTTTGAAAGGCTTGACGCTGCTCAAAGGCTTTATTTTAAGTACGTATTTCATTGACGTATAAATTT